TTTACCTCTCTGAGATGATGCTCTATCTGCCGGACGAAAGAGATTTCATCAATATTAGAACTAGTGACTGTCTGCTACCAGGTATCTTAGCATGAATGTTACCGACCATGTTACTGTCACTGTCACGGCGTATAATACCATTTATGGTCAGCCAAGGTGAAGCATGGCGATGTAGCAGAGTGTACCATGAAGAAATCTATGCTTTCCCTAAGGGACATGTAATATTGTACTGCAAAGATGTCAAAAGATTATTCTACCTGAAGCACAGGTGATGCATGACAAGCCAGGATTCCCCGATGAGTTTCTACACTGAGTTCACGGTGAAATCTAAATGAATAAATCGTGAGGTACGGAGCGAGGTGACCGAGCCATGCGTGAGGAGGATGCTGGCTGCCGCACCAGGTATCAGGAGACCACAACACAAGCAGCAACTCCTTCATTAAACTCCAGCGCACAGAGCACAAAATATAACCAAGTTACATCCCTAATCAAAGGAGAGATGGGAGAGTCTAGACAAGCCTTAGTACAGATCTAGTGTTGAACTGAACTCAAACGTCAGAGCATAGCAGATGCAGCAGATTGTCATCAGAGCCAACAAGAGCATGACCTGGACTTGTTTTTCACGAAACACTGAAGACCATAAAAAGCAAACGTCATAAAACAACAGCACTTTCATGGGGTGTAAGGGCTAAAGTGAAGCTCTGTGTTGACCTTGTAAGTAAGGATATGTCTTAAAATCTACTCTCTGGCCCAACTGGTGACAACTCAGATGGTAGACTGTTAGAGATGATGTGAGAGTGTGGTAGTGGTAAGCCAACTGGTGACAACTCAGATGGTAGACTTAGAGATGATGTGAGAGTGTGGTAGTGGTAAGCCAACTGGTGACAACTCAGATGGTAGACTGTGAGAGATGATGTGAGAGTGTGGTAGTGGTAAGCCAACTGGTGACAACTCAGATGGTAGACTTAGAGATGATGTGAGAGTGTGGTAGTGGTAAGCCAACTGGTGACAACTCAGATGGTAGACTGTGAGAGATGATGTGAGAGTGTGGTAGTGGTAAGCCAACTGGTGACAACTCAGATGGTAGACTGTTAGAGATGATGTGAGAGTGTGATAGTGGTAAGCCAACTGGTGACAACTCAGATGGTAGACTTAGAGATGATGTGAGAGTGTGGTAGTGGTAAGCCAACTGGTGACAACTCTTATGGTGGACTGTTAGAGATGATGTGGGAGTGTGGTAGTGGTAAGCCAACTGGTGACAACTCAGATGGTAGACTGTTAGAGATGATGTGAGAGTGTGGTAGTGGTAAGCCAACTGGTGACAACTCAGATGGTAGACTTAGAGATGATGTGAGAGTGTGGTAGTGGTAAGCCAACTGGTGACAACTCAGATGGTAGACTGTTAGAGATGATGTGGGAGTGTGGTAGTGGTAAGCCAACTGGTGACAACTCAGATGGTAGACTGTTAGAGATGATGTGAGAGTGTGGTAGTGGTAAGCCAACTGGTGACAACTCAGATGGTAGACTTAGAGATGATGTGAGAGTGTGGTAGTGGTAAGCCAACTGGTGACAACTCAGATGGTAGACTGTGAGAGATGATGTGAGAGTGTGGTAGTGGTAAGCCAACTGGTGACAACTCTTATGGTGGACTGTTAGAGATGATGTGAGAGTGTGGTAGTGGTAAGCCAACTGGTGACAACTCTTATGGTGGACTGTTAGAGATGATGTGAGAGTGTGGTAGACCACTGTAGGTCATCACGTGACTGTGAGACGGTGTAGAAGGATGAGGCAGACATGAAGGATGAACACTGACGAGGGTCACTGCCCACAAACACTGGTGCAATGTACACACCCCTTCGATATAAGCGACCACTATGACAAAGATGCTTCTATTGCGGGCTAATGGTAGGATTAAGATTGTATTGAGTTGACAACAGCTCCAGCCATGTTGCAAGAAACTAGATCTCTGACAGGGACCGTGAGTCCAACACGATCAGCAGTGACTGTGAGGCTGGTGACAGTCCTGTCAGCTTCCACTCTGGAGCCTAATTCCAGGATCTCCCATCAACTGAGGATGTGACACTCTCAATTACATACATCACCTACAGAATGACAGTCAAAAGACAGCCTCCACTTTATATCGCTGAGACCCATAATCCACACATAATGAAAATAGTTTCTGTTTTCACCTGTGACAAATGGGACATCAATGTATCATGTTCAAACACTTATGTGCCAAATATCCAAACTTTAATCCGATACACAAATCACAAAAGATGACGTGTCAGCATTAATCATATTCACTACAGCACACATTCTGTTGCCTTCTGAAACAAACGTCTCCACTCAATGACCTGTTGCCCTGGAAACAAGATGGCTGCCCAAACCTGCTGCAGGGCAAGTTTGTGAGGTCTACATTGACACTATGTGCTGTATGTCACCTTCACAGACCTACTACAGGTAGTCATCTAATCCAACTCTCCATTCACGTGCAGTGATTCACCTTCAGACTAACCCCCTCCCAACACTATACAATATATCTGGCAGACAAGTTGATCTCCGCCATGTTCACAGATTTGCACAGGACCATATCTGTTTGGCTTTTACCTCCAGTTTTTCATATTCTCGGACATCAGCTGACATCAAAATTAGGACACGTTAACATGGGACTAGGTGGACATGTAGTATACATTAACATGGGACTAGGTCAATATGTAGCATACGTTAACATGGGACTAGGTCAATATGTAGGACACGTTAACATGGGACTAAGTCAATATGTAGTATACGTTAACATGGGACTAGGTCAATATGTAGGATACATTAACACAGGACTAGGTAAATATGTAGCATACGTTAACATGGGACTAGGTCGATATGTAGGATACATTAACACAGGACTAGGTAAATATGTAGCATACGTTAACATGGGACTAAGTCAATATGTAGTATACATTAACATGGGACTAGGTCGATATGTAGCATACGTTAACATGGGACTACGTCAATATGTAGGATACATTAACACAGGACTAGGTAAATATGTAGCATACGTTAACATGGGACTAAGTCGATATGTAGGATACATTAACATGGGACTAGGTCAATATGTAGTATACGTTAACATGGGACTAGGTCGATATGTAGCATACGTTAACATGGGACTAGGTCAATATGTAGGATACATTAACATTGGACTAAGTCAATATGTAGTATACGTTAACATGGGACTAGGTCGATATGTAGCATAGGTTAACATGGGACTAGGTCGATATGTAGCATACGTTAACATGGGACTAGGTCAATATGTAGCATAGGTTAACATGGGACTAGGTCAATATGTAGCATACGTTAACATGGGACTAGGTCAATATGTAGGATACATTAACATTGGACTAAGTCAATATGTAGTATACGTTAACATGGGACTAGGTCGATATGTAGCATACGTTAACATGGGACTAGGTCAATATGTAGGATACATTAACATGGGACTAGGTCAATATGTAGGATACGTTAACATGGGACTAGGTCAATATGTAGGATACATTAACATTGGACTAAGTCAATATGTAGTATACGTTAACATGGGACTAGGTCGATATGTAGCATACGTTAACATGGGACTAGGTCAATATGTAGGATACATTAACATGGGACTAGGTCAATATGTAGCATACGTTAACATGGGACTAGGTCAATATGTAGGATACATTAACATTGGACTAAGTCAATATGTAGTATACGTTAACATGGGACTAGGTCGATATGTAGCATACGTTAACATGGGACTAGGTCAATATGTAGGATACATTAACATGGGACTAGGTCAATATGTAGCATACGTTAACATGGGACTAGGTCAATATGTAGGATACATTAACATTGGACTAAGTCAATATGTAGGATACATTAACATGGGAATAGTTTGATATGTAGGATACGTTAACATGGGACTAGGTCGATATGTAGGATATGTTTACATGGGACTAGGTGGACATTTAGGATATGTTAACATGGGACTAGGTCAATATGTAGGATATGTTTACATGGGACTAGGTTGATATGTAGGACATGTTAACATGGGACTAGGTTGATATGTAGGACATGTTAATATGGGACTAGGTTGATATGTAGTATATGTTAACATGGGACTAGGTTGATATGTAGGACATGTTTACATGGGACTAGGTTGATATGTAGGACATATTAACATGGGACTGGGTTGATATGTAGTATATGTTAACATGGGACTAGGTTGATATGTAGGACATGTTAACATGGGACTAGGTTGATATGTAGGATACGTTTACATGGGACTAGGTTGATATGTAGGACATGTTAACATGGGACTAGGTTGATATGTAGGACATGTTAATATGGGACTAGGTTGATATGTAGTATATGTTAACATGGGACTAGGTTGGTATGTAGGACATGTTAACATGGGACTAGGTTGATATGTAGGACATGTTAACATGGGACTAGGTTGATATGTAGGACATGTTAACATGGGACTGGGTTGATATGTAGTATATGTTAACATGGGACAAGGTCGATATGTAGGATCTGTTTACATACATTACCAATGGATAGGTCAACATCAAAATCTAGCAAAACGTCTTTCAGTCTAGTAATCACCGATGTCAGTAGTCGATATGTTCAGTCTTAAATCTACCAGGCATGTTGGGCCAATAAGCTGTATATCTTTGTGTCGATGGTAAAGTAGGTCACTTCCTGGTCTCCACCTGATGTCAGTCCCCAAGCAATAAACATGGATGCCAGCAGACATTTCCTCATTTTGGGGGCAACAATTTCTCACTTGAGAAGCAGTTGTGACATATCAGATTATGATGAACCTTTAGGAATGTCCTGCCAAACATAAGAAGCCTTGATATTGACCGAACAATGACTGTGACTGCTACTAGGTCCTGACTGCTCTGTAGGGAGCCAGAATGACATGAAGCCAGGGGGACGGTAATGAGGAAGGCCACACTTACTGTGCAATGTGGGATCCATTCCAGCACTTGCTGCTAGACATATCCTGTTCGTAAATGATTCCCTGACCACAGATTTCGTTGGACAGGCGGTTGTAGATTCCGCGGGAGTCCATGAGTTTCTTGAGGACAGCCTCCAGCTGCTCCATGAGGCTGGATGTGGGGGCGGGTCTCCGGCGGGACTTGGGCTTCGACATGACGTAGCTCCTCTTTACATTATCCTTTGGAACTGATGTGTTCAGGTTCTTACAGCTCTCCAGCACCTGAAACATGACAACAGGCAATAAGATATTCAGCAGCAGCAGCACTTTGTCAACATCAGCATCTCGTGATGGCTGCTTCATCATCATGACAACCTTTGCTGTCATCAGAATAAAACTGGGCAGGATCATCACTGAAAGCTTGTATCATAACACAAGTCATCATCATCATCATCATCATCATCACTACCACCACCACCATCATCAGTAGTTGCAAAGGGGAATTTTGATGTTTCATGGATACAGATACTTTATATGAATTTCAGGGGGTCCAACACAACTATTACCAATAGGACTGTATAAAGGAACACTTGAATTTCATCTTTACTTTAGTGAGTGAGTGAGTGAGTGAGTGAGTGAGTTAATATTTAACGTCACATCTCTACTTTAGAACACAGAGCATATATACTATAAGTGGTGTGACTTTCGATATATGTTTTATTGCACGTACTACAGGAAGTCCTGTGACTGCAATCCACCAGCTGCTGACATCTTCAATGCACGTACATTACAGACATCTGGGATATCGACCATAAGTTCCCCCACATTTCTACCAACTTTCAAATTACAATTTAGATACCACACACTTTATTAGATTCAGACAGGACAGAGTAGTTTATTCAAATCCATGATTTATTTAATTCGTATTTACAGGAAAGCCCAACAATTTGTTCCCTGATTGAGACAGTTCAGCACGGCAAGAATTGAGTCAGTTTCAATTAACATGGAGATGTGTATGAACATGGAGCACCATGCTGGCCGCGTGGCCGCGTAGAAGGTTTCAATCAGGACGACAAGCAATAGACATACGACAGGGTCGTACCCTCTATTTCTATCAGATACTATTTACATAGGAACTCGGTTAAAAAAGTCACATGTTTTATGTAAGTGTGTACTTAATGAAAATATTTACTGCAGTGAGTGATAACCCTGGCGTACCCCAACCTAACACGTGGCCTTCCAAGTGGCTCCGTTCCACTGAAGTAACTGCTGGCACACAACACCGCACACAACACAGCACAGGCTGTCAGCAAGTTTAAGAGATAGTTCCTCAATTGAGTTTCTGCAAAACTATTTCCGTGAATATGTACAGACCAGGTCTATCCATCCAACAGTATGTATGATGGACAAGGCCCAGTGCAAACGGAGTCTGTCTTATGAGAAATGTTGTATTTCTGGCAATAATGACGAGAAAACTGTTAAATGGAACAGTAATTGCTATTTAAGTCCTTTCATCAATGGCGTGTATGATAGGGGTGTGTGGGCAGATGCCATTCTATCTTGTTTTCCACTGGCTCCACATCATCTTATATCTGTTTGAAGTTATGCAAAAATATGAAATAATTACGAGGGTTTTTTAATGTTTAATTCCAACTGGGATTTAGATAGCAATTTGTGCTTGATTATTGCGACGAGAATTATATCCTGTCGCCAAAGTAGAATACAAATGCTGAGTTCAAGATTAAAAGGTCCAAATGATCAGAAACAATGATTTTGTATGTATTCGTGTTTGGTAATTCCCAGGGGTTTCCCCAGGAATGTGGCAGTAGTCTGTCAGTGTTTACGTCAGTTCAAGAAAACGGTCTTGGGGAAAATGTATCAGCATCAAATTTTGTCGTTCATACGTTTCACGGCCACATGTTTCAGACACTGCGGACACAGCCACATTTTTCAGACACTGCAGACACAGCCACATATTTCAGACACTGCTGACACAGCAATATGTTTCAAACATAGACACATTTTTAAGACACTACTGACACAGACATGTTTCAGACACAGACACATGTTTCAGACACTGCTGACACAGCCACATGTTTCAGACACTGCTAACACGGACACATGTTTCAGACACTGCAGACATGGCCACATGTTTCAGACACTGCAGACACAGCCATATGTTTCAGACACAGGCACATTTTTCAGACATTGCAAACACAGACACATGTTTCAGACACTGCAGACACAGCCAGATGTTTCATACACTGCTGACACAGCCATATGTTTCAGACACAGACACATGTTTCAGACACTGCTGACACAGCCACATGTTTCAGACACTGCTGACACGGTCATATGTTTCAGACACACCAACATGTTTCAAACACTGACACAGCCACATTTTTCAGACACTGCAGACACAGACACATGTTTCAGACATAGCAGACACAGCCACATTTTTCAGACTCTGCAGACATAGCCATGTTTCAGACACTGCTGACACAGCCACATGTTTCAGACACAGCCACATGTTTCAGTCACTGCAGACACAGACACATGTTTCAAACACTGTCACATGTTTCAGTCACTGCAGACACAGACACATGCTTCAAACACTGTCACATGTTTCAGACAGAGCAGACACAGCCACATGTTTCAAACACTGCAGACACAGACACATGTTTCAAACACTGTCACATGTTTCAGACAGAGCAGACACAGACACATGTTTTAAACACTGTCACATGTTTCAGACAGAGCTGACACAACTTCAAACATCATCTTTCACACAGGTCACTCAATGAGATGACAAGACAACCATCCTCTGTGACTTCCAGTCATTGTAATCATGACAAGTCAGGCAATCATATCCCAGGCCAAGTCAGGCACTCGTAGTTTTCATGGAAACCCGATGAATGTCTCATGTTACAGTCGATGGCCAAATCACCAATAACATGTGTTATTTATAAGCTGGACGACCAGGTACAGCCTCCTGTTGCTAGCATGGACTTTCTGATAGCAGGGATATTGATGATGTCTATTTCTGTCTGTCAGTGCACCCAGGTGACGAAGGCACAGGTAGGCGGGAACAACTACATCTGCACTGAGAACATCATCAACAAGATGGTGAATGTCGCAACTGAAGTCAATCAATGCCTTCGGGTTAATTACTGGGGGACAATGCTTGTGAATGCTGCTCTGAAGCAGGGACAGACTGTATTGTACATCTTGGGTGGGCTGATGACTGCAACATCCATAGAAGTCTTTCCATGTGCAGCACTATCTATCTATTGTGTAGGTGTAGTTATTCTTGACATTATGAAGGCAGAGATAGTCAAGACTCTTTAAAAGTGAAATATTTACAACATTCAAATTTGATAGATTCTGATAGACATAGTATTCAAAACTAATTTTGTACCATAAATAGTGATCATACTTTTCCACAATGAAGACATCTTCATTTTCTCCCAAATGACATAGGTGCAACTAGCATCCATCAAAACACCCATATAATTGTTGACTCAACAAGCACTTACACTCATCAAATACGTCAAAATTTACAGAGCCAATTTCACCCTTATCTACGGATATATTTTGCAATCATTGATGCCCCAACTCAGTTACTCCCATAACCATGTATTGCCAACAGTGTGATGAGAGAGACCCAACATGCAATTACAAACGTGAAGTTAACTCTGGCGGAATCGGTCCCGTGAGCCGCGTCCAGGCGCAGGGATGTCGGCAGCACCGCGGCGACGGTAGACTTGACATGATCACTGATTACCCCCATCACTGATCAATAATTCAAAGGTAGGCGGAATACATTTCCCAAACAGTGGCTCAATTGAACTGTGGCCTTTGAAGATTGATCAATTCGGGAAATTTACTTTTTTATCCAGACAATAATAATTAATGGAGGTCCGTTATTTTGTTGTGGTGGTCCTCTAAATAGCCTATTACTCCCTTGACAAAGAATTGTACTCCAGATCGGCTGTTCTTTAACATAGAGAGATGCAGGACTAGATAGTTCACAGATGTAAGGTTCAAACGGGTCTTCAAGTTTCTTTTCCAATGTTAAAGATGGAGGTTTTTGTTCCATGGGACTTTACATGAAACACGATTCAATTAACCACCAGCCTTTGATGGCAAGAAATATGATGATTGTTACAAACGGATCTTACAATAACAACAAAAGAACAAGATTAGAAGATCCGGATCTAACATCAAGCTAATCACTCACCACACAGACCAGTATTTAGATTTTTTTAGTAGTGCTTCCTCCAAAGACATATTTTTCTTTCTTGTTTGAGATCTAATACACAAGTCAAACTGAAAACATGGTTCAAACTATTTGCCTGTACAAAGTTATTGTTCACCCTGGCACCATGCTCCCGCACTGGAGCGCTGCCCCAGCAGATATTGGACACTAGCTCTCTACACTTCACCTTCTCCAACAGCTGGGTAACACGTCAACGCTTATTGTTGCTAACAATCTTTGGCTATGATATAGTGACTATCTTTTCATAAGATATAAATTTATTCTTGTCAAGTGTTGCACCAGACGAGACTGAACCGTCAGGGTCTAGCATATCCTCCTGGTGTTGAGAATGCAATCGGGCCATTATTGATTCAAGTAAGGAGAATGTCAAGATTAAATTGGACGACAATGTTTAGGTAATAGAAGACTTCCTACATTCCGTGGAGAGATCAGCTATAGCCAATTAGCAGCCCTGGCTTCTTTCCACTAAGCGATCTTAACCCTCGTGTCGCAAGTCTGACTTAAAGCATATGAGATACCACAGAAGTAGCTGTAATGCATGATCATTATTTTACACCAGTCAGCAATATCCCAGCTACATCATGATGGCCTGAAAATAGCAAATGTTGTCCAGACAAACCAGTGGGTGATAGCATGAGCAACAATCTTGCAATCATTGGACTTTGACATACATCCAGCCAGGTTATACATTGTGATGATTCAATCCTTATGTTGCTCACGTCCTTCCTTCCACAGGGAAATAAGGCTCTTACAGACCAATTCAACCTGAGCAAGATCTAATACATTATATTTCTACAAAATACAAGCAATAGGTTATTACCTTAGTGTAAATCCTTGGTCCATCGTCCATTGCTTGAAGTATTCCTTCTGAAATCTGTTCATGAATACCACTTAAAACTACTTCCAAACTGAATTTTTCCTTCATGCCGTTGGTGAGAGTTCTGACTGCAGAAATAAGATCATCCCAGGCCGGGCTTATTTCCGACTCAGTTGCCAGACAGCCCCCAATAACATTCAAGCAGAAGCCATGGCAAGGCTTGGCATCAACATATCCTTGACAATGAGAGCAGTATTGCAACTTTGTTGCAGCTTCAAGACAATTGGTATCAAACTTGATATGATCCGTGGAATTAATGGCTTCTGTGATCACAGACAAGGCGTTCACAAATGCCCGTGCTCTTTGGAAAGCTTGGACAATTTTGTGGGCAAGATGTTTGGGGCTGTTGCCGAAAGGCTGGATGTCCTCCTCGGCTTGCAGCAGACAGCTGCGGTAGTGGTCGTCGTAGCGGATGACGGTGGGGTCGCTCAGGATGTAGTAGAATACGGATGGGAAGAGTTCGGTGAAGAAGGTCTGGACCGAGTCCTGGAGGTTGACGTGCTGGCGGCGGGCGTACTGTTCCATGTCCAGGAAGTAGTCGCTGACCGTACCATGGTGCTCGTCCCAGGGGATGTTGTGGACGCGGCTCAGCATCACAGCTGTCCGGTTCTGGGCCTCCTCTAGTAAATCCAACACCCTCTCTGCAAAAAGGGAAACACAGTTTACATGACAGAAACAGAAACAGAAACACAGTTAACATGACAGAACAGTGGGACATAGTGACTGATGTTACTCTCTCCAGTATTGGACCATCCAAGACAATGTCCAGTAGACCCAAGGGAAGGCAATGTTCCCACCATAACTGCCATTTCTTATCTATCAAGAGTACTCTTTTGACAATGTTACCGAAAAATTCCCAAGTACAAAATACACCATATCTATCAACAACTACAAGTACCATGACGTAACCATGGCAACTGCTGCAATTCTCAGAGTAGTGTTTCAATACCACTTTTTTCCCCAGCCTGCAGAGGGCCTTTAAGAGCGCGAGTGAAAAATGAAATAAATAACTTCAAAAAATGGTTAAGTACATCCTCATGCACAGTTAAGTAGCCTGACATTTATTTGAAACAGGAATCTGAAACGGATTGTTGTTTTAGGGTGCACGTCACTGCGTGCAGATGCATCAGAGTTCCTGCCCCCAAGGCTTCCCATGTACTCCACATGACCCTGCCTCCCAAATTCAAAATGTGAAATATTACCAGGGATTAAAAGTCATTCACTGCACACACATCATGTTTTGACATACATCACATAACGGGCATTGTGGTTAGAGACAATTGTTCTGTTGGAACTCCACAGGGGGACTAAGTGGCTGAAAAAGTGGAAGTTTAAAATGACAGTTTGACAGCCTCTTCCTTTGCCCTAAATGTCTGTCCAAACAGTCCACACTGTTGACCTTCTGGCGAAGGGGGCGGGGATCGGGAAATACTGGGTGCAGGGGAGAGGGCAAGATCCTGTGGGTGGGGAAATATGTGCTGCTTCTCTACAAAGAGTTGTAGTGAAGGATGGCGCGCGCACATGACACCAGGGTGCGGGAACAGTGCTGCTTCTCTACAAAGAGTGGTAGTGAAGGATGGCGCGCGCACATGACACCAGGGTGCGGGAACAGTGCTGCTTCTCTACAAAGAGTTGTAGTGAAGGATGGCGCGCGCACATGACACCAGGGTTGTAGTGAAGGATGGCGCGCGCACATGACACCAGGGTGCGGGAACAGTGCTGCCTCTCTACAAAGAGTTGTAGTGAAGGATGGCGCGCGCACATGACACCAGGGTGCGGGAACAGTGCTGCTTCTCTACAAAGAGTTGTAGTGAAGGATGGCGCACGCACATGACACCAGGGTGCGGGCACAGTGCTGCTGCGCGCACATGACACCAGGGTTGTAGTGAAGGATGGCGCGCGCACATGACACCAGGGTGCGGGAACAGTGCTGCTTCTCTACAAAGAGTTGTAGTGAAGGATGGCGCGCGCACATGACACCAGGGTGCGGGAACAGTGCTGCTGCGCGCACATGACACCAGGGTTGTAGTGAAGGATGGCGCGCGCACATGACACCAGGGTGCGGGAACAGTGCTGCTTCTCTACAAAGAGTGGTAGTGAAGGATGGCGCGCGCACATGACACCAGGGTGCGGGAACAGTGCTGCTTCTCTACAAAGAGTGGTAGTGAAGGATGGCGCGCGCACATGACACCAGGGTGCGGGAACAGTGCTGCTTCTCTACAAAGAGTGGTAGTGAAGGATGGCGCGCGCACATGACACCAGGGTGCGGGCACAGTGCTGCCTCTCTACAAAGAGTTGTAGTGAAGGATGGCGCGCGCACATGACACCAGGGTGCGGGAACAGTGCTGCTGCGCGCACATGACACCAGGGTGCGGGAACAGTGCTGCTTCTCTACAAAGAGTTGTAGTGAAGGATGGCGCGCACACATGACACCAGGGTGCGGGCACAGTGCTGCCTCTCTACAAAGAGTGGTAGTGAAGGATGGCGCGCGCACATGACACCAGGGTGCGGGAACAGTGCTGCTTCTCTACAAAGAGTTGTAGTGAAGGATGGCGCGCGCACATGACACCAGGGTTGTAGTGAAGGATGGCGCGCGCACATGACACCAGGGTGCGGGAACAGTGCTGCTTCTCTACAAAGAGTGGTAGTGAAGGATGGCGCGCGCACATGACACCAGGGTGCGGGAACAGTGCTGCATCTCTACAAAGAGTTGTAGTGAAGGATGGCGCGCGCACATGACACCAGGGTGCGGGAACAGTGCTGCTTCTCTACAAAGAGTGGTAGTGAAGGATGGCGCGCGCACATGACACCAGGGTGCGGGAACAGTGCTGCATCTCTACAAAGAGTTGTAGTGAAGGATGGCGCGCGCACATGACACCAGGGTGCGGGAACAGTGCTGCTTCTCTACAAAGAGTGGTAGTGAAGGATGGCGCGCGCACATGACACCAGGCTGCGGGAACAGTGCTGCTTCTCTACAAAGAGTGGTAGTGAAGGATGGCGCGCGCACATGACACCAGGGTGCGGGCTCAGTGCTGCCTCTCTACAAAGAGTTGTAGTGAAGGATGGCGTGCGCACATGACACCAGGGTGCGGGAACAGTGCTGCTGCGCGCACATGACACCAGGGTGCGGGAACAGTGCTGCTTCTCTACAAAGAGTTGTAGTGAAGGATGGCGCGCGCACATGACACCAGGGTGCGGGAACAGTGCTGCTGTGCGCACATGACACCAGGGTGCGGGAACAGTGCTGCTTCTCTACCAGGGCTATCACTGTCAATAACCAGTGGATGTTCCAGGTACGTATCTGTTATCTTAGTTGTTAACACACACTGATCAGTTGCACTCAGCATCGGGAATAAAACATCCTCCTCATTCACAGACTGACACAGTCCACCTGAAACCTGTACATGATATCTTGGAGCGTCAAGACTCAAAACAATGTGTTACATGATCTGTAACAGCCCAACAGGGGTCTACATGCACCATGTCAACACTACAACCTCAACAAAGAGACCTCCCCCAGTCAACACTGAGACCTCCCCCAGACAGCACCCAGTCAACACAGAGACCTCCCCTAGACAGCACTCAGCCAACACTGAGACCTCCCCTAGACAGCACTCAGCCAACACTGAGACCTCCCCTAGACAGCACTCAGCCAACACTGAGACCTCCCCCAGACAGCACTCAGCCAACACTGAGACCTCCCCCAGACAGCACTCAGCCAACACTGAGACCTCCCCTAGACAGCACTCAGCCAACACTGAGACCTCCCCTAGACAGCACTCAGCCAACACTGAGACCTCCCTTAGACAGCACTTAGCCAACACTGAGACCTCCCCTAGACAGCACTCAGCCAACACTGAGACCTCCCCTAGACAGCACTCAGCCAACACTGAGACCTCCCCTAGACAGCACTCAGCCAACACTGAGACCTCCCTTAGACAGCACTCAGCCAACACTGAGACCTCCCCTAGACAGCACTCAGCCAACACTGAGACCTCCCCTAGACAGCACTCAGCCAACACTGAGACCTCCCCTAGACAGCACTCAGCCAACACTGAGACCTCCCCTAGACAGCACTCAGCCAACACTGAGACCTCCCCTAGACAGCACTCAGCCAACCTTCCCGGGCGGTGCATGGCGATCAACCAGTACTCAATGCTACCAGACCTGCCTCTAATGTATCGTTAAAAAGGTAATTTCAGATAACACAAACCTGACATTAAATGTATGTAGGTGTACTTAATCACATCCATATCTATCATGGTCATAAATATAGTAGCTACAAACTCATTTAAAAACTCAATTATCTAAATTAAATTTTAGGAATTCTCTAGTATTTTCGTACCATCCTTATCTAGAAATATTCCTCCACTCCCCATATTAAATATGCTATGCTATTTCTAACAAGTGCTTCCCTGTTCATCCTATCACTAATGGCTGAGATATCAGAAGCTAGTAACTGCTGCCTCTGACAAACACAGAAAGGTTATCAGTGCAACCCGAATCCTTCAAATGAATATTTAACAAATAACAATAGAAGTCGCCCAAATACATCCATACTGGAGACCAAGACTGAGTCTTATCTCTAATCACCAACTTATTGTCAGCTAACTACAATACCAGAGAAATAGACCCATGAAGATCCAGCGAGAATAGGTCTCCAGCAAACCATGCTTGTCGTAAAAAGCGACTGTGCTTGTCGTAAGAGGCGACTAACAGGATCGGGGGGGGCAGCCTCGCTGACATGGTTGATGCAGGTCATGGTATCCTAAATGCGTGGACCAATGGTCATGATGTGAATCACAGGATTGTCTAGTCCAGGCTTGATTATTTACAGACCGCCGTCATATAGCTGGAATATTGCTGAGTGTGGCTTTAAACAACAAAGAGATTGAGACCAGAGAAACAGCATGGCCAGAATGGATGTGGTAGAGTTTATGATGGTGGCATGTGGTCCTGTGTACAGTGCAGCATGGCCGGAATGGATGCGGTAGAGTTTATGATGGTGGCATGTGGTCCTGTGTACAGTGCAGCATGGCCGGAATGGATGTGGTAGAGTTTATGATGGTGGCACGTGGTCCTGTGTACAGTGCAGCATGGCCGGAATGGATGTGGTAGAGTTTATGATGGTGGCATGGCCGGAATGGATGTGGTAGAGTTTATGATGGTGGCATGTGGTCCTGTGTACAGTGCAGCATGGCCGGAATGGATGCGGTAGAGTTTATGATGGTGGCACGTGGTCCTGTGTACAGTGCAGCATGGCCGGAATGGATGTGGTAGAGTTTATGATGGTGGCACGTGGTCCTGTGTACAGTGCAGCATGGCCGGAATGGATGTGGTAGAGTTTATGATGGTGGCATGTGGTCCTGTGTACAGTGCAGCATGGCCGGAATGGATGTGGTAGAGTTTATGATGGTGGCATGTGGTCCTGTGTACAGTGCAGCATGGCCGGAATGGATGTGGTAGAGTTTATGATGGTGGCACGTGGTCCTGTGTACAGTGCAGCATGGCCGGAATGGATGCGGTAGAGTTTATGATGGTGGCAGGTGGTCCTGTGTACAGTGCAGCATGGTCGGAATGGATGTGGTAGAGTTTATGATGGTGGCACGTGGTCCTGTGTACAGTGCAGCATGGCCGGAAT